CAGTTGAGAATCTGCCTGAAAAAGCATTTACTAATGTATGCTTTGTGAGAAGAAATGAAAAACTAAAAAGTATTTTGCAATAAAGCCAATCATTAATTTTCTGCTTACTTTATGAGAAAAATGCCTCCATAAGACGGTTCGTTTTTTTTTTTTTTTACCTTCTTGCTGATCAATATACCTCAATATCCGTGTGGATTAAACACAGTGGCTTTTTCATAAAGTTTGAAAAAATTACAAGGATCTGTACAAAGATTTGACAAAGAAATGACAAAGTTCTCTTTCTTATTTTCCAAAGTTAGAGGTTTTGCTCTACTAAGCAAAGTTGCGTGTGAATGAGATTTTTTGCTTCGGTTATGAACATGGATGTATATTTCTTGGGAAGAACCAGTTGAAGCCAACAAGCTAATATTAGCATTCAGCTTGTAAACATATATTCATTTAGCTGGCTGAAGCTCACATGGCTTTATCTTGAGTCTCTAAAAAGCATGTCTCCCCTCTTTTTTTGAAAAAATCTGAATTGTTGATAATTCAGCTCCTTAAATGTTTGTGGTTCAATTTAAGTACAGAAAGAACTTGTAGGAAAAGTTTCAAAGCAAGCCCTTTGTTTTAACTTTATTCAAATGAAATTCTGGCATTTCCGCTGCTTTCTGTGTAACTCTACAGGCTGTTGGGTCAGTTAACAGACAAGATTAATGCAGCAAAAATGTTGTCCATCAATCTAAATGTATTTACATCATCTGACTGGTTTGTATTTTTTCTGTCCTCTTCATATTTTAATTTCCTGAAACACAGACATGGATAACCTCATCAGTCTCCATCCACAGGTGCTCCAGCTTGATGAAGACGTTCCCGTTTCCAGTCTGGCATAAAGGCTGTTCTGATTTGAGTTTACTGCCTCCCCATCTTTGTCTCCATGCTCCATCTGCGTATTTTCACCAATCTGTGATCTTAGCTGTGCAAAGAGAAGGGCATGTTTGACTTGCACATCTTGTTCTCTTCCTGAATATTCATTTAGGCCTGTCCTTTGAAGTCCTTGTTGGAGCGGAGCAGCTTTATTCATTTTGACTCCTGCAAAGTGATCTTTAACCCAGAGGGGAAGCACGAAGTGGGGCTTGCAGGGGTCTGCGTTTTGTGGAATGTTACCTTTCTTTTCTTTTGATGGGTTGAAAGGGGGTGTATTCAAAGCTGCTGTTGCTTATTTATTCATCTTAAACATTCCCTATTCATCCAAAGAGAGGGCAGCTGGGTTGCCATGGCAGTGACTGTAAAACCCTAAATAACCCGATTCCTTTTCACGGTTTGTCTCGGTGATGTCCTGTTTTCCCTCGCAGCACTGGGTAACCTGAACTGTCAACGCCCTGGATGATTGTCTTGACTCCTGCCTTGCGAGGCGTCTCATTATGCTTTCTGTCTCTGCGGCATTCTGCAGCTCACGTTTTGTCGCATGGCCAGAAGAGTTTTATACTCAGAACATGAGCAGATGCAGCTGTGGTTCAGACGCACTGGAGAGGAAACAAACACATAACATGCCTTATCCTGTCTCCAAGTGTCTCGGGTCCCTGCGATTCTCCGCTGTGGCCGTCAGGATGAATGACAGACACACCCAGAGCTGGAGCTCCGAACCATGATTACTACTACTGCTCTGAGCCAGGAGGAGGAACGGCTCCTGCTGGGAGAAAAAGGCTGATGACTGTTTTCAAGTCATTTCACAATTGTTAATAAGTGAGATACAGCTACATCTCCAGAAATTACAATATTGTCAAAAACTTTCTTCATTTCAGTTATTATGTTCAAAAACTGAAACCCAGCAAGACCACGTGGTGAAGTGTCTTGCCCAAGGACACAACAACTGAGAAATGGAGCAGGATTTTGAATCAGCAACCCACCAATTACAGGAAGGACTCCTACTACTGTAGGAGTGCATTATTTATGTTAAGTCTGATACTTACAGCTAATAAGAACAACATATGTTGGTTCTCTTAAAGAATGACTACTTAGCAAAATTCTCTTTTTCCATGTTTTTGTCCTTTCATTTGTGTCCAAAGTCCAAGTGCTTAGAAAACCCCAGCAGACCTTCGGCCAATTCATTATTAGCAAACTAGCATTTTTGGTCTGGTTGTTCTACTGCTGTGTACACTGTAAAATAACTGTAAATTACTGCAGGAAAAACACAAAGGGTTTTGTTGATGTGTATAAAATGTGTTAACTTTACATAAAAGTAACAGAGGTCCAGTTTTGATTTCTTATCCAATGTAAAAAATGTATTATGCCAATTACAGTACATTCATGTACATTACTATCTATGTTGATAGGTATTAATACATAGCAACAATTCACAATTCGATTTTGTTTTATACCTAAAACAAAATCTGCCATAGCTTCAGATTTTTTCAAATACTTGAATATTGTTCATATTCGTAAAAATCTCAGCATATTAATCCAACTAACCTGATGATGCCTCATGAGCTTCACATAAAGTCTGGTTATTGCAAATTCAGTTAAAAATAAAAAAATCTTTGGGCCTTCCCTCAAAAATGTAGCCCTGAGCCACTGCCATGCGAAACAATTCCTCCGGTCTGAGGCAGAATAAGTTTAAACGAAAAAGCCTTTTTGATACAAAAATAGAATGTGGAGAGAGTGTCCATGTCCTGTACAGTCTGTTTACCTTTAGTTCCTGCTTTTCATCTGTTTTGTTGAAGAAATGTGCCAAAATCAGCCCGTTTGTAAATAAGCAGCTTCAGTAGCCAATACTTTCTGTGATCGTCCTTGTGGGCGATGTCGACAAGCCAATCGTCTTCACTGTTACTGATTAGGTTACAATAAGGCTGTAAACACAACATTTCTACAATGCGTTTCCCAGGTCTTCTTTTCCAGTGTAACAAAACCAGGACTTTTTATCAATGGTTGATAATACAGCACAATTAACTATTAATTGCAACATAGTAATCAAAATAAACAGAAAAAAAGTGGCAGAAACATCACCTATCCTATTTACTGACTCCATATAATAAATTAGCGATTAAAAAGCCGAGCAAAAATCTATAAATCAGCTCAGAAAGTTGCAGAATTGAAACTTGTAAATGGATTGTGAACAGGTTGCTGATGAGTCAGTCTCAGGACCCGTCTCTTCCCCATGTTGGCAGCTCTCTGATCTGCCTCCTCCAGCTCAGTCGGTGCAGCTGCTGGTGGCCAAATGGAGGCGAGCCCCATGAATGGGGTGACTAACACGGCGAATTCCTGTGTTTACATATGGAGCACGCATGATGCCCGATTCTTGAAATTGTGGGACTCCAGGTTGTAAAACGAGGTTAGATCTAATTTGAGATGCCATGGCAACCCTCTGCTTTGCAATCAATTCTTAATACCAGTTTTGATTTGCCTCTGAACTTTCTCCGCCAAGCCGATGTCAACGGTTAAATCATAAACCAGCTGCTAGGGAGAATGACCGCGATGTCTCTTGTATTTTGAATTTTAACACATTTTTCAACCTCTTTGTCCATCTGCTGTCCATTTGTCTCCATGGAAAAAACCAACTCTAACAAAATTGGATTATTGACCAGGTCAGTGGAGGCTTTAGTGTAGCGCGTACTCATTAATCATTTTTACATAGTAGTTACAGAATATTATCCTTTTATTAAATTCTCTGTCAGTGCATAAGCTGTACTGCACTTGCAATCATTCTCCTTGTTTTAAAGTGCCTCATTATCTCAAATCAGAAGCGTAATAAACCAGAAAACTGCGTAAACTGAAGTCCTCTGTCTTGATCTGGCTTCTCAAGCATGCAAAGATGTTAATTAAAATAAATAGCTTCACACCTTTGCACAGCATTTATAATGTTGAAATGCCTCTCACATCTGGTAAAGTGGCAGCCTGCAGGCTAAGATACAGCCATGGATCACAAAAACTTTAAAGTGTTAGTTGTCACTCACATTCTACCACTTATAGCTTTTTATTATTGTATTGCATGAATTCATATAGTGAGAGAAATGGAGGTTGAAAAATTTAGCTGAATCTGCCATCTTGTAATAATGTAATTTATTATGCATATATACATTTTAGTGTTTAAAATATTAACACATAACTTCATATTTTTGTCTGATGACATTAATGTTAAGTATATAAACGATCAGACTATGATCAGCTACTCATGACTTATTCCAATATGGAATATGGAACTTTTATTGTAAGATTTGTTTTTCCATATTTGCTGAAATTATTAAATCTTTACAGTTTAATATGAGACGGATAATGATGGATCTATCTCCTCCACCTCCTTCCTGAGCTGCTATTACTGTCTGAAGAAATGCACCTCTCCCGAAAACAAATACAGCCAATCAGGGCCAGGAAGCCCTGATTGGCTTAGCGCTGTCATTCATGTTCATGTGTGCGCTGCTAAATGTGCTAATGATGAAGAAATAACTTTTATGTTAGTTAAACCATATGTACACCATCATCCAAGGCCATGCTAACTTTCCTAAGACACAAGAAATTTAGTCTGATTTAACTTCAGATAACAAAAGAGGAGTGTGCTTTTTTGTGTATGTAAACTTCTGGTTCAACTATATACAGTCATTGTGTATCAACATAATCCTCCAAGTACGAAACCCTTGTAGATTTAAAAGAAAATGTTTGTATATCTTCTGTAATAAACGCACCAAGTCTGGATTGTAAACATGATATCTTAAAAGTCTGAGTCATTAATTGTGCTGAGCTGGTTGTAAAACTGTAATCCACCCAAACAGCAGACATTTCTTAATACAAATTGTTGCAGAATATGAATAAATGGAGAGAGTCAAAGTGAACCCAGTTTTTTTGGGGTTTTTTACGTTTCCTGTGTTTAATTTCCAGGTGTTCTATGTGTTTTATTTTTCATTTTCACTACCACCAGACTTTCTAAAGCCTTTTTCTCTACTCTAGGAATAGCTGAGCAGTTCTCTTTAATGGCCTGTGAGAAGCTTCTTCTGTATTTAAGTGAACAAATGTTCTTTTCTGCGTCACAGATCTGATCTTCTCCTGGATCTTCAATGAGTACCCCACGTTTGTGAAGCAGGACAACCGGCGCTTCGTCTCACAGGAGACGGGGAATCTGTACATCGCCAAAATGGAGCCTTCAGATGTTGGAAACTACACCTGTGTGGTGACCAACACAGTCACAAAGACCCGTGTCCAGGGCCCGCCCACTCCGCTGGTACTCCGCAGCGTTGGTAAGCACTGCTGGTTATTCGCTGTGTGCTGATGGATCAGCAGAGGACTGGTGTGGATGGAACGTTTAAAAGCTTCATGTACATCTGCATGTTGCACTGTTCTGTAAGAAGGTCTGCAAATTAGAGCCTTTCATGCTCTTTTATGTTGTAGACTGAGTCTGAACTGTTGATCAGTTCAAAGCTAAAAGATGAAAAAATGTTTCATCTAAAAACACAGGACTGGGATAAAGTATTCGGCTGCTTGCAGATTTCCTCTGGTCTTACTTTTTATCATACTTGTTTCATCTGAAATCCTTACAACTCCCATTTACCAACACAGTTTAGATGAGAACCTGGTGACTTCTAGCAGAAAAATAAAAACTGGTTGTTATTGGTAGCCTGGCTGTTGCTTTCCTGTGCAGTTCTGCTTGATTCTCATCTCCTCTTGGTGTTCCATGTGGGATTTCTCTCGTTGACCTTGACCTCTCGAGTAGAATTTCAACAGGGCCAATCAGCGTACAGAAGAAGATGGTGGAAATAATGACATTGATTTTCTGAGATGTTTCAAAATTATGGCCTACTGGTAGTTTAGCACTGGCAGTGTGAACACAGCTTATCAGTGCTAGTTGGACTCAATTCCAAATATTGAGCAATTGAAATCAGAGCAGGAAGAAAGTGTAAGACATTTTATCAGCAGTTCTCAGTGGGGGAGTGATGTTTACAGTGCATGCAATTTCCAGTTCGCTTCACAGCGCAATTACTTTCACAATGAAGCTAACGTATTACATTCTTCACAGCCAAACGTTAGCAATCGGGTAAAAATTAATCCAATGGATTTTATATACATTAACAAATATAGTAGAATAAAATTGATGAAAGGGGGAAGACATGCATCAAAGGTAATGCATGCATTTTTTATTAATGTTTTTTTGTGCATCTGTCCCAGGAGGTGTGGAGGGTGAGTTTTTTTTTTCATCCTAAATCTCTTCTACTACTTTTCTCTTTCTTCATCTTTATTTCACTCCAGCAGATGGATCAGCAGATAAATCTCAGCCGCCTCCACCAAAATGGGAGCTGTGGGGTTTGGATCTGCGGGTGAGAGGGTGGGCGCATTAAACAGGTGTTCCTTACAAAAGGTTATAGTATGAGACAATTACGTTCTCCCTTGCACCTGTCTGCTTTAACATGGCTGATGGGACTGTGGTTACATTCCGCTGTGAGACAGTTGTGATAAGGATCTGAATTAGCTTTCACAGTCACTCAGGGAACCGTGCTGATAACACACGCCTCACCAAACCCACAAGATGAAATTGGGGCTGTTTCCTCCGTCTCTGAAGCTATTTGAGCAACACTGGCCTCCGCATTACAGCGATGGAGGAAGAACCTATTGAGGAGTAATCTGGTGCACTCAGCTGACAATCAGCAGCGTTTTGGAGAAATAGCCTGGCACACAATTACAAACATAAATATAATTTAGCTGAGGGGAAGAATTCAGGTTTTCTATTTCAAGTCACCAAACATTTTAGACTTTGCTTTGTCCAAATTAGCACCAATAACATTTTATTTATTTTTTTTAAAGAAAAACCTCAGACATGGACTTTATGAAGTAAAGTCGCAGTGATGGACAGTGAGGAGAAGTTTGACTCTTTCAGCTCCCACGTGGCTCTTCATCTGCAAACCCAAATGTGAACATAACTTGCAACGTTTCATATAATAAATCATTTTGCATTCTATATTCCCTATATGAAAAGCCTTTTACTTCCTTTATTGATATATTTGTTTTGTTATGAAAGCACACATTCTTGGTTTTGCATAATATTATAAGCAAACCTTTAATTAAAAAAACAAATGAATGAAGCACTGCTACCAAATCTACGGAGCAGACCATAATATTAATTTATTATTATATTACTCTTCAACCAAATGTTGCTTCTCTTACAGCTGTCAGTTATATTTATAGGTTTTTGTTCATTAACTGAGTGGATGGATTCATCTGACTGTCCTGTCTGTCCAGAGAGTGGGATTTTCACCTAATGGTATGATCCCATATCCTCTTATCAAAACAAAGTTCAGCTGTGAGCAGAGAGCTTACACTGAGAGTAAGAGCTGAGCAGCAAAAGGAGAAAAAAGTGGTTAGATGGTTCTCCCTCCCTCTCTCTCTCTTCCTCTCTCTTTCTCTCTCCCTTCTCCCTTGCTGTGATGCTTGTTGTGCTGCTGTGTTTACTGCCGCTCCCTCATAAAGAAGGACGACTCTTAGTGAGAAGCGAGCTCTAAGAACCAAAACTTTAGCGACCAACCTAACACTAACAGACGTAGTGGATGTAAATGTAGTGATGTAAATGTAAAAGTGTAGGAAGGAAACCTGGAGTCTTTTTCTACTGAAACAGAGTATCTTCCTAAACCCTAGAAACACAACGCAGATGTTCAGGAAACTGAAATAAAGTGAATTTTTAAAATTCATGTCAAACATTGTATCTAGCAATCGTCTGAAACAGGCACATATTTGAGCATAAATCAAAAAGCAAAGACCTGGATTTTATGTTCACTTTTTTCAAGTCGTCATGAAACATGTAAATCTCTAAAGCAACATTCCATTTTATTCTTTTTGTAAGCAGAGATTTTTAGCATGCACAGCAGATACAATGTGATCTGCCAGAGCTGCTTCACTGAAAGCGAATGGATACTTTGAAGAGACTGTGGCAGGACTCAGGAGGATTTTATGGCTGTGTTTTGTGGTCTGTAACTGGCTTACAAACCACTTTTGCATCTGGATGCAAAAGCTTAAATTGTCTGAGAAATCTCCAAGTTGTTATTTTGCTATTGAACATTTGTGTTACACATGTCAACTGCAGTGCTGTGTTTTGGCCTCTTTTTCTCATTATTTTTAGCATTCTGTGACAGCAGCCCTGTGAGAAAGCAGAACGTGTTTCAGCTGCTCATATTGCAGAACAATGGAAATTTGAAAAAAAAAAAAGATGATTTTTTTTTCAAATTAAAAGAAACTGAATGTGGAAAAAAGTAGTTTGGGCACTCCAGAAGAAACCAAAACTAGTTTAGTTTTTGTTTTCTGTGTTTCTCTAAGTTGAAAAGGGAAAAGAATCACTTCTCCACTAACGCTGCGGATCATTTGCATTTCTCTTTCAGGTGTCATGGGCGAATACGAGCCAAAGATTGAAGTTCAGTTTCCAGAGGTTGTTCACGTTGCCAAAGGATCCACTGTGAAGCTGGAATGCTTCGCTCTTGGAAAGTAAGCAAAGTGCACACTGAGCGAGCTCAGCATCATTTAAAGGCAGAATACTAACAAAAGATAGCACTTCTGTGTTGCAGAAACTTTGACTGTATCTGTGTGTTTTAAGCTGGACTTCGAAACCAGGTCAACAGGTCAACAGGGTGGTCATTCAGTGGTATTAGAGAATTCACTAAGGATGTGTTTTTACCAAGGTGCATTGAATCAACCAAGTTAAAAAGGCTGCAGACTAACAAAACAAAGTGTTAGAATAAAACCAGTAAAATGACATGTGGTCAGACACATTTAAGAGCTGAAAGAAATTTCAATGACTTTATCAAATTACAGGCAATTTTGGAAATAAATGTCTTAAACTGAAATAGCTAAAATCCAATTTTTAAAATCATTTTTGCTCATTTAGTTTCTCCTCCCATGTTACAACTGATTTGTAATGATTCATAAAATATGACTCAAATATGAATAAACTTTTTATTCTATTCTAACAGTTTGAAACACAGCTAAGATGTGTCTTTCACAAGAAGTGACTGCTTCAGGGCAAAAGGCTCATCTTTCTACCAAGTTGAACTTTAATATTAGACTGTAGCTGAAGTAGTTAGAGGATTGAGAGAAATGATTTTCTGTGTGAGATTCTGTGAAGATATTGACAGTGATAGTTATTTTATTTGTAATAGAAATAGCAGCTTGTTGGAAATGAAATACATCACTGTAGTAGTGGAAGCTAACACGCTAGCCTTCAAATGAAAAACATTCAATTCAAATAAATATCAACGTCAATATTTTGCACTTCTGCTAAATCCAAATAAACTCATCAGTTAGTGGATCTGAACATGATGTAATGCTGAACACATTTAGAACCGGCCCATCACATAAATAAGCTGAGAGACTATCAACGCTGTTATAAATTTGGTTTAATGGTTTCAACCGTCCGTGCTGAGGTAAACTCCAGACAACAAGCAGCGGCAGCAGAGAAACCAAGCTGTAGAGGCGTGATTGATCCACACTCCATGTTCAATGCATCAACTTTAAAAACTATAAACCCATCTTTCTTTCTTTCAGGAAAAATTCTGCCCTTCCAGTCAAATGTGCACTGCAGCAGAGATGCTTTCAGTCCTGATTATCATTATTATTTTTAAGTTATTTGCTTTAAAAAATAAAAATAAAAAAAAAACAACGCTCAAGTAAAGCGTCCACCAGACTTATGATACACTGGGGGAAACCCTGGTATTATGATGGGTGAATGGTTGCATTGCTTAAAGTTAATAGAATCTCATTTGGTCTCTTCTCCGATTATCAGACAATTAGCTTCATCTTCTAAAACTAAATTTTAATTTACAATGGATTAAAATATCATATTTATTCCTTTACCTTTTTTACAGAAGCTCACTTCATATTTTCTGAACTTTCTCTGTTACATGTTTCTTATTGTTCCTTATATGTGCATTAACACCTGTTATGAATGCCAGCTGATACTTCTGCATAGCCCACAGTTCCCCTTGCAGAGGGTACAAGTCCTTGATAATTGGAAAAGGAAACCAACCTGATTGGTCAAATGGTGGGTCCAAACATCTCCTGTTGTTTTTTTTTTTTCTCCAAACTGGACGCTAGGCTGGCATTATAAAGTATGTTTCATGTTAAGGTCATTAGACGGAGAAAGAAAAACATGGAGCGGAAGCGTGGCATTTCAGCGGCTTTCTTCCATGAACAGGATGCCGACCTTTAGTGTTGGATCTGAATTGCAGACTTTAACTCAGAAAGCTATATTTAGATCAGTGAGGATGTTGAAAAGTCCAAACTGCATAATTCAAGCTCTTTTAGGGAAGTCATTAAATTTGAATAAGTGAGGGACAGAGACTAATCCTGATATTAATTGGGTTAAACATTTTTACAACTCAGATTGCACTTTAAATGCTTCATCATTTCTATTAAAAGTACAAATTTTTCATTAAACATTTTTACTGCTGGTTTTATCTGTTGACCCTAAAACACCTCAACCCCTTATTTTCCAGCCCGGCGCCCTCCATCAGCTGGAGGAGAGTGGACGGCGTCCCGTTTCCCAGGAAGGTGGACATGAGGAAGGCCAGCGGTGTCCTGGAAATCCCGTACTTCCAACAGGAGGACGCCGGCACATACGAGTGCGTGGCCGAGAACTCCCGGGGGATGAACACGGTGAAAGGAAAGCTCTCTTTCTACGGTAGGTGACCTGCTGCACATGAATATTTGACCACAATGGAGGTACGTCTTGTCAGACCGACTCAGACTGAGAGGGCAGAAAAAAAAAAAACAGACATGACTCTTCCTACAAACAGGTGGCGGAGATCAGCGGCAGATTGTTTGGCACACAAGAGCAAAGAGGCCGGTTTTAATGGCACATCAAATGATTAAAGCCTGTCAGCCATGATGCCTTTAATATTTTGATCCAGATTAAAGGAGTGATGCGGATGAGCCTGAGCCCTTGGATGTGACCTTGTTGGTGAGCTTTTCATTGGGTTCCACCAGATGGCACCATGATTGACGTCCAACTTGACTGAAGATCAAAGCTGTTAAATAGAGTAGGGCTGCATATGTCAGGGACATAATCTGCATACAGTAACATCTGGATGAGCCGGAAGAGGATTTGCCTGTTGCTGGCGATCCCCCAACTGGATTCACCGCTACTCAGGTTAGCTTTAAGAAGTCGGCATCTGCACACACTCCGGATTGTAAAAAGCAAAAATTAAACAAGAAACAATAATCACAACCAGAAAGTGATAATCGATGTAACCTTGGTTGAGAAATATGTCTATAATAAACAGAAAGAAAACACTGAAGTGAGATCCAACAGAACTGCCGAATGTTTCTTTGATCAACAAGTACTTGGATAAATCTCTAAAAATGATCAAACCAGCAGCAGAATAAGAAAAACATGCCTGGTTGTTTGTTGTGAGGAAAAATTCAGCAAGAGAATGGTAATAATTTATGTTTCTTTACTAAAAGTAAGAAAGGGTTGAAGGGCAAGTGGAGGCATGGAGAAGAGTAATAATACAGCATTTTTATCAAGTTTTTGTAACTTATACAAGATTATCTTTTTTTTTTTAATCTTTTACACCATTTATGAATCACTAAGACAAATCATAATTCCCTTGTTCTGTCTGTTAGCACCATCGGGAAAAATTAATGAGCAACTGTCCTCTCAACAAGTACAATACAGATCACCGCTACCGTCCTTATTTTGGCACATATTCAAGCAATATATGCTGAACAGTAGTTTATATTTTAATGAGTGTTTAGGTAATTGTTTTTTGTTTTTTTGCATGTGTGTGTCAATATTTCTGAAGCTATTGGAAAGCCTTTTTATTTCCTCTTAAGTGGTGCCATGTTTGTTAGGAAAGTTCATTTAAAAGTCGAGCGTCAGAGTTAAGTATGCTGAACAGCTTTTGGTGGAGGGAGTGTGATGCTGTGAGACGACACACAGCCTTGTCATTATTGTAATCTCAAAGCAGAAAGATTTGGAGATAAATAGGCTGCAAGACTGAAGACATGAGATAATTGGTCTTATCTTTATGTATGCCAAAAATGTGTATTTTAATTCATATGGTATTGGTATTCATATGGTATTCAACAACATTAATGGAAAATAGACTTTTGGCTAATGTTTGGGTTGTAACAGTGTGGTAATTTTGCACTATGATTCTTATGTCCCAATTTAATCCCTTCTGCACAAATGTTTGTGTCAATATTATTGTTTGTTTTTTTTGTTTTTTTATCTCAGTGGCAGCAGACTTAGTAATATATTTCATCGTTTCACTTGTGAAGTATTGACTCTCACCCTAATGCACAAGGCCTTGTATTCAGACATTACATATTCATACATTATCTACAGTTCCTACTGGGTTGAGGAGGTGTGCTGGTGCCTATCTCTAGCAAATGTTTTGACCGAGAGGAGGGGTCACTCTGGACAGGTCACCAGCAACACAGAGAGACAGGACAGACAGCCACACACACTCACACCTAAGGAGAATTTAGAGAGACCAATTAACCTAACAGTCATGTTTTTGGACTGTGGGAGGAAGCATGCATGCATAGGGACAACATGCAAACTCCATGTAGAAAGAAACCCAGAATCTTCTTGCGTCTCGTTGCAAGGCAACAGCGCTACCTACAAAATATATAAATAATTCCCTTCTCACCCACCATATATATATATATATATATATATATATATATATATATATATATATATATATATATATATATATATATATATATATATATATAAATTCCTTCTCACCCACCGCGGGTGGTTCTTCACTACATTATAAAAACCATGTAAACCCAAATATTATTATTTTTTCTTTATAATGAAATCTGTTTATTTCGTAGCTGTCAGTTGCTGTAGAAAATGTTTGCATTTTTCTGACCTTAAGCTGTTCAAATGTGGCAGATGAAATATCTCTTGCAACTCTCTTTGATCATCAGTCAAAAAGAAAGGAATATAACATGCTGTGTCAGCTATCACAAAGTATGTCAATTGGGACATTTCTCAATTTGTTGTTATGTACCTCTGCCTGGATTCTGCCAGCTTCAGCCCTACTAATCCCTCTGAGCCGACTCTTCTCTCATTTCAGATGTATTTTGTCAGGCCCTGCCTCTCTCTTCCCTGTAGCCAGGTGATAAAAATCTTACTTTGAGCTGCTTTTGAATTAAGCCTTTGAGGCATTTGTTAGTGTATGCCAGCGGTATGATTGATAGTGGTGTATCTTGTACACCAAAGCATGCTGGGACAGAGAGAGAGCATTAGTTTGTACAAAACAGGAAGAAATGTAGATATTATTTTGCAGTGCTACTGCGTTCATTGGTCAAACATGGAGATATGGACCTTTGATATCACTGGTCAAGTTGCAAGAAATGAAGCCCCATAGACTTTACACCGTATGTTAAGGAACTGAAGTTAAAACTCATTAACTGATGATGGACAGTGAACAAATTAAATGGTGCAAAGTCCCTTGCAAAAATATTTACACTGGAAGCGGGGGAAGCGTGGTTTGTTGTCCCATCAGACTGTCAGTTCTCAAAACCACACTAAAAAATTTGTAAAACTGCATACAAGGTCAAGGTAAAAAGCTTGTTTGGTCAATTGGGTCTTAAGCCCATGGGACAGTAGAATATTGTTCACCACTAAGTGAAGGTTGAAGACAAAAAGTGATTGTCTACTTGCTTATTTGCACTGACGTAACTCAGATGACTTCCTGGTTGCATTTGCATTGGTGTATTTGCAGGTTTCCTGTCACATAATCTCACGATGATTTCCCTAATGAGGTAAATTCCCATCTTTCTTCTGCTTCCGCCTCTTGACGTCTGGCCTGATTGCATACAGGCTTGGCCTCTTACAGGCTGAGATGGACTGCCTGCCTTCATTTGGAGAGCGTTGACTGAGAGTCGATATGTGCACAGCAGGTGAGGGATGGAGCGAGGCACCCTGACAGTACAGATTGAAATAGCAATGACGGCAAAGCAGTCCTGAAAGGTGCAGGAAGTGAGGTGGCCCATCTGGCATTCTTTGATAGAGGGGTATGGTAATATGCGATATGGATGTTATTGAGATCCCTACAAAACATCTGGTTCTCAAACCTTGTCAGAGATTGATAAAAGGAAGCCAAAAAAGCTGACTGTATTTTCTTATCATTGACAAAAAAACAACATATAGCTACAGTAAAGGTTGGAGTTGATCTCGTACCACAAAAACCTCTTCTCTGTAACAGAATAAATAAAAGAATCCCCTATTGGCCCTTACCTGTAAAAGAAAACAGTTTCACTATTTGGACTGACAGCTAAGGTGTAGCCTCCATGCAAGTCAAATGTCAACACTTCAACTAACCTTGTAGTGCCTCCTCATCTGCCAGAGAGTTCTCAGAGACCTGCAGCAAAATACTAACCGTTCTTTGAACCAGAAAGAATTTTGATGCTGAATCTGTGCCTGACTCCTTCATGTAGTACAGTGAAAGATAAGATAAGATAAAGTCATTTTATTTATACTGTATGGCACATTTCCAGCAACAAGGCACTGCAAAGTACTTTAAATGAATTAAAAGGAAATACAAACAACATAAGGAAAACCAAAGGAAAGAGAAAAATAAGAGAAAAAGAGAGAATCTAATGATATTGATCCAAAGTATATGTTCTAGATATGCATATTAGGGTTGTGAGACAAGTATAAGTAAGTGTCCTCTGGTCTTATTCTTTTTCTGAGTTGGAAAAATGGAAGTCTTAAAAATTAGTTGCTAAGTGTAGTTTTTCTGTATTCTAAGTCTGTTCTGGGTTCCATGTTCTGGGTTGCTAAATAAGCTTAAGTATTCTCTGAGCTTTCTAAGCATGCTCTAAATTTGTAAAAGTAATGAGTCCTCTACAGTTTTAAAGTGATAATAAAAACTAAATGTTCCTGTTCTGGAAGAACCTTTTCTGGATTCTACGTTCATTCTAGTTCATTTTCTGGGTTGCAAAAACAGGAATATCTCTGCATAATAATCAAATTAATCTAAGAAGTATAATATTGGTCTAAGTAGTGAGTACTCTACAGTTTCTAAAATAAGCTAAAGAGTGAATAGTAGGCTACAGTCTCTGGATTCTAAGTTTGTTCTAATTACTTTTCTGCATTAAAATTGGGTACTCCATAGTTTCTAATAAGTAATAGAAAATAAAGAAGAGGGAACGACACATTAGGAAAGTTTGCACACTCAGCATTCAGACAAAACAAAGACATGTATTGCATTATCAATGCAATACATTGATAATGTATTGCATTTATAATGCCATGTTAACCAATTGCTCAGTGTCTCGACATGAGTCCGATATGATGTTATCAGTGAATATGTCCTTGGGAGCATCCAGTTCCTCAGTCACATGGCTGATAACAGGAGGGGTGTTATGTTTACATATCTTCAAGGAGATTGGAAATATGCAGGCCTTCCAAGGCAACATGGGGAAAGCCAATTTAGATACAGAATGTGTTAGGTCTGGTAGATTATAAATTTCAATCTCCCATAAAGTCTCACCAATACATCTCAGTTCCCAATTATCCAAATTAATGTGGCCGTTCCACTGAACCAAAACTAGTAATCAATTCCATTCTGTTAGTGAGTTTTAGAGTCTCAGCAACTTGCGTCTCTGTCCACACCAACAGTCAGAGTGTTCGCTAGTTCGGCCAAGTCCACAAATTTGTCAATAAGCCAGGTATCCGTACATTCCAAAAAGCAGAAATCCTGTTATTATGAAATCCTGTGCCCAGTCTTCTTATCAAGTAAATTATATCAATTGCATTGAGAGAACGGTTGACCAGATCAATAATTTGTAGATTTGGAGGATATGAAAAAAAAGCTCCAAAAATAGAGAAAAGGGCAGCACAAAAACAGAGCAGGCAGGACAGGCATGGGCTGGGACATTATAATGAAAGACAGCCTCAGGTTGTCTTTTTTGGATGTTAAAACATTTAAGTGTGATAAAAAAGGAAATGTAAGGGGTAAAAACTTCTTAATGACACTGCAAGTACACTCGACCAACCTGTTTGTGCTTAATTGTTTGCTGGCCTTTTGTCTGTGTAGTTATGAACTTACAAAAACCTACACACATAAAATATGTCTATCTTCACAAGGACTTTGCATTTATTTTTATTCATTTTTTATTCATTTTTGCAGCCCAACCCTAACCTTACCATTATCAATATATAACTAACCCTAACCATGAACCATGAACAGGAGCCCAGGTCCTAGGTAAATTGTCCAAAGATGTCTTTTTCCAAACATGGTCTGAAGGGACCGCCATCACCCAGGAACAAGAACCCAGAATATGGGTAGACTTTATCAAAAATCCTCTGGTGCTGGAGAACCATGGGTAGAACAAAGAACTATGAATCATGCCCACCCAGGAATTGGAGTCTAAAACGTTTTCTAACCTAACAAAAATGCAGACCGTCCCGTATGGACTCCAAAATGTATCCTGGCTCCTCATAGCTAACTGGCTAGCTAAAAAGCTAACTTTTCTTATTTGTACACATACATCCTATTTGGACAACAACATGGCTGTAAAAGAAAACAATCACAAAAAAAGAAGACAAGGTTGTTTTTTTCCAATACAAATGTTATCAATACAGAATTTTTCCATTCCAACCACATAGACTTCTTGCCAATTTAATCTCGTTGAGAAAACAGAATGTTTGGGTCCTTTCCAGTGCGGAAGATATGTATTTCAATAATTATTCACTATCCAAATGGGAGGGGGGCCCTAACCTAAACTCAGTTCACACCTAAGTATTAGACCTAATCCCCAACCTCATAAAGAACAGTCACTCTCCACAATTTAGTATGTGTTGTTAGTCCTTACAGTGTATCAAATACAAAGCCACACACACAGTCTATACTTATATGTTGAAGCTGTTAAGCTATACTGACAGATATACGTATAGAGCCAGTGGAGTTCTCTCACTGTTTTTCTTCTTCACCCAAAGGCAAAATATCGTACAGTGGGAGCTAATTAGTGTAGGCTGTTAGTGGAAAGACTTGACAAAGGTCAGTCCTTGAGAGTGGCATTAGGTGAGGTCTGTGGAATGGAAAAGTGCATTCGGCCTTTCATTTAATCCTGCCAAAAGCCTTCTGTGATATAGGGTGATAAAGCCTTGACCTGAACATCAAGAAGAATGTAGAAAGCAGAACACAAGAGCTTTACAAATCTAGCTTTATGTACCTTTGTTTCGGTTGAATCATTAACTAGCCTTGGGTTACCTGCATGATACAGGAAGAATCAATTCTCCTCCTGTATAATTATACCATCATTTATTCAGATTCTATCGAATGGAGTAGTTTTATGGCACTAGGAACCGCCTTAATGTATACGGAGCCAGTATTTTTCACTTTCATTCAGGTATAGCCACTCTAGGAAAATAAAATACGTTCTGGAAGAAAAAAACAACAACATGAATAATGAATAAAAACTTAAAGAAAAATAGTAAAAACTGTTGTTTTCTTAGGCTGAGGACATTTACAGAAGTGTTCACAATTCTTGTTCCTTTTCTTTCTAAATGCAGTATGTACATTCAACTTCACTTGTATACCTTTAAAACAAAAACTTTTGACACTGGTGGCCTTTATTTAGCTAAACAGGAAGAATAATAGAGAAAGGAAAAAACATGGAGTAAATTGCATGAGTTAGGGAACTGAACACAGAACAGCTTCTTTGAGGATTGTAGCCTCAACATGTGATGCGCCTGTTCTACTATGGATCCACCAGACACTCAATAATGGACGACTATAATGTAATAATTTGATTGTTGTTCTTTGTGTTGTATACAACAGCTTTAAATACATTTGTTTTGTATGTATTGACCCAAACTTCCACATAAGTCAAATATGGTACAGTTAGTCTATTACATAAAATGTCATGAACTCGTTCAACACTGTCAATAGTTATTTTCTTGTTTATTATGATTTCCAAATATCATACATTTAGTTTTATCAAAATTTTATAATTTATTGTTTTTGAGCCAATGTTTGTTTTTTTCTTTCTTTCTTTCTTTCTTTCTTCTTTCTTTCTTTCTTTCTTGCTTTCATTTTTTGGTTAGTCAGTTGGTAGATGAGTTGCTGATGAATTCTTGGTTAGCTGGCTGATTTGTTGGCTGATTTGTTGGACATCAGTTGGTTGGCTGACTTGCTGGCTGCTTGGTCAGTTATTTGGTTGGTTGCTTTGTTGAATGGTTTGGTAAGTTAGTGGCGTTGTTGGTTGACTGATTCATTTTTGATTTTATGGCTGCTTGTATTGTTGACTGGTTGGTTAGTCAGTTTATTGGTTTGATAGTGGACTGGCTGATTGCTTGGTTTGGTGAGAGACTGATAAGCTATTAGAGCATTGAGTTTTCTGTCTGGATAGATGGTCAGTTGGGTGGTTACCTGATTGGTTGTTTGTGATGAACCTCATTGCTTCATCACAAATCTGATTGGTTAGATAGATGGATGGAGGGATGATGGATTGATTAAACTGATGGATTATGGATGCAACCATGGATGGTTGCATGGTTGGTTTATTCCTTAAAAACCAGCAGGATGTCAGGTGTATTTGTCAATTTTGGAAAATAGCCCATGGTTCAACTGAATAAACAGATCTTTTAATACATTTTAGAAGAAAGTTGCTTTTTTTTAACTCGCATTTATTTTTATGACTTGTATGTTAATTGTTGAACAACTTTTTCAAAGCAGTAATCCTGTTTACTTTGCCTTTCCATGTTTTCAGCTCCACCTCATCTCATAGAGAAGCCCCAAGACGTCCAAAAGTTCATCGATGACTCGTTGATGTGGGAGTGCAAAGCCACAGGGAAACCGAAACCCTCGTACAGATGGATGAAGAACGGAGAAAACCTGGAATCTACAGAGGTGAGATCTGCCAAATGTCTCCAAGCTCAAAAAGCTCCAAACTTAAACAATGTGTACACTAACACGTTTTTACAAATTTCACTCTCAATCTTAGTAGAAAATGAAGAATACCAAACACTCATACTAAGCATACCTTTCTCTGTATTAATTATAGTCATCCACAAAAAAGCGTTTATTTCAAAGGTTTTTAACCATGCCCCATTGTGCTGCGTAGATCAAAGAAACAGGCCAAGTGTTTAAAAGCACCATGATGTAGAATCCAACCTAATCATCTGCTAAATCTCTTCTTACCAACATCAGTTATTAATTCTGTGCCACCGCAGATGAAAAGCAGGATTTTTTTTTTTCAGACTCAAGACTTAATTCTTTCCTTTGTGCTTCCTGTCCCCTCAGCTTCCCCACATCTCCATCTCATCTTGGCATATGAAAAAGTGTAATTTCTTTATTATTCATGTTAAATTATTACATTTAATGTTTTTTCCCTTTTTTGTGAGTACCTTTAAGCTGGCTGATTGGACACTGTGGCACAGCTTGCATTTGATAAATAAACTGCCAATATGTTAATTTGCGTCATTATGCAAAGATGGTGACAAACACACTGGAGGACTCAGATCAGTGCTTGAATGTTCTACATGAGGTAGGAATGAACCTGGGTCTGTCACCACATACCCTGAGGCAGCGCTCCACTCAGCTCAGCGCTCCACTCTGTTTTCACATAAAAACAGATTTAGTTTACTGTCAGGGGAGCACAATCAACAGTCTGTTTTGCCAACAGCAATGTGTTTTATCAACACCTTTTTATGGTTGTGCACAAAAACAAAACAAAAAAATCTCCCTCTTGTTTCTTATAAGGTAGTTTCTTAAAAAGATTTAATATTCTATTACATTTGATGAGATTTATTTTCTTATCTTTATGTGGATGTACTTAGGAATTTATGATGGGATGAATGAATTCAAACGGTAGCACTCAGAGTAAATGGCTAACCCAGTTGCCTGTCTGGGGATGAGGCAGTTCTTGGAGTGTGATTAAAGGTTACATCGACTGGCCCGACGTTTGTGCAGCACATTCCTCCTTAATATAGACATAATAAATGGATAGATTCAGAAAGCATGGGTGAATGGATTAATCAGCGAAGGTGCTGCATTGTTTGAAATGCCACCATTAACCACTGCTGCTTAATGAGTGGAAGAGGGAAAGGTCAGCAGTGTGAGGAGCAGTGGTGGGTTGTTAGTTATTACTGGGAATCGATTGAGGTCTTTTTTGAGTTGCTTCTTCACTGGACTGGATTTCTGCTGATAGTTTTCTGAATGGGAAGAAGCAACCGTCCTATAAGAGGGAACGAGCGGCCATCTTGATTGTTGTCCTGAATATGCTGCATTTGTCTTGATGTGGTGAAAGCATAGTATGAGAAAGATGAAATGTGAAAAAAGTAGCTCCTTCTCCCAATGCTAACTAGAAGCAACCAATGAGAGCCAGGAGGCAAGTGTTAGTGCTGAAAATCATGCCTGTGCTCATGACACTCAGCCCCTCACCACCCAACCCTCATTGCTTTCTGCTACAATATAGCTTCCCTCCATTGGCACAGCCTGCAGTGAATTTAGCAGCAAGTACATAAAAATGATTGACAGTGATAAGACCCTCCTTCTGGCTCTGATTGGTTGTTTTCGGTCAGGAGCATTGCATTTTTGAGATCGATTATTCCACAAATGATCTGTTTCATTTTATACTGTCATGACATGGGGACAGTTTTAACAAATATGTCAAATATGCAGCTTTAATGGAGGAGTGGGGGTAGTGCGAATATCATTTCAAAGCTGAATTTCTCAGGACGCCTTATGCTGCTGGGGTGGGCTGCCCTTTACACAGCCTGGCATAAACAGTGTTCACATATCTAGAAGCAATTGATATGAAAATGGAAATCAGCATATTAGAGCATACACTGTAAAAAGGAACCTCAGGGGTTATCACATTAACAAAAGAATATCATGTACTGTTAACTAAATAATTCCATGTTTGAGCCAAAAACATGATACAATCATGTTGCATAAACAAGATATTCCACAACTTCAACTTTTATAAAATTGAATCATGTTGAGCTAACATGATTCATTATAGTCAGACCGATCCTATGCTGAAGACCACGAGTGAGATCACGGGATATCACGCAAGTTCACGCAAGATTACGGAAAATCACGGGATATCACGCGAGACAATCGGTTTTTCTCTTGCAAATGGAATAAAATGTATTCAAGGTGAGATAACGTGATTCAATTACGTCAGCTAGATCTTCCGCCAAAAAAAAAAAGAACGTCGGGGCATATTACATGAACAAAAGAATATCATGTACCTTTCACACAATAATGTTGGGTTTGAAGCGAAAACGTGATAAAATCATGTTGGATAAACAAGATATTCCACGACTTCACATTTATAAAATTGAATCATGTTGAGCTAACATGATTCATTATTGTCAGACTGATATTGTGCTGACGACAACGAGTGAGATCACGGCATATCACGCGAGAACACGCGAGACAATCGGTTTTTCTCTCAACTGGACTAACGTGATTGAATGACGTTATCTCAACTTGAATAAATCTAATTAACATTTATATACCCACCGCGGGTGGTTCTTATCCTCTGAGCTCGGGTCCTCTACCAGAGGCCTGGGAGCTTGAGGGTCTGCGCAGTATCTATATATATATATATATATATATATATATATATATATATATATATATATATATATATATATATATATATATATATATATATATATATATATATATATATATATATATATAAAATTTTATTCAATATCAATATTTGTCAAAGTTAATCTAATTAAAAAAAAACACAGTGACGTCAGTTCCAAAGCGCTATTGTGTCAGACTCATCTCCCGCTGAAGAGGATCCAGCGACATCAAGAGATTACGGAAAATCACGCGAGATAACTGGCTTGCACCTTGTTGGGTTTTTTCAAGGGCAGAGGGGAGATTCCTGGCGTGCATCCACTTAATTTGAAGAAGGTAAGAGTCAAACTATTTCATCCAAATCCATATAAAAATATGTAACTTAAAATTTCTCTACCATTTGCACCATTTTCTAATTGTTCCATACTTGTGTCACATTATTTCATGTTTTGTAGATTAAGTCGGTTAGGTTAAGGCAGATAGCTTTTTGTTTACATTTATCGCCGCACCATGTTAGGTACATTCTGTGCGAAAAAAACTCTGCAGAGCCATATGTAGTGTACAAAGCTGCTGCCAGAGACACAAATGGACCCCAGAAATGTCACAGTTTTGCTCCTCCTGAGCTCCCTGGAGGTTTAGTGGATTTTTAACACACTGATCTAACATCAGGTCTATTTCTAACTATTTTAATTCTATTTCAGTAATGTTACTAGGAGGTAAATGTAGATACACACTTTGGTACCTTTCTATCATCATCGAGATTCTTAATTAATTATGGTAATAAAAAGTCCTACATTTCAGTCGGTGAAAACCTGCAGAAAGCATTGCTTTCTGAGCTTTGTTAAATGTTCCTAAAATACCTGTTAGTTATGGATTTCTAGTATATTTTGTCAGGCTAAAACTCTCAATGGATTATCCATTATTACAGACTTGAGCTTTCTATTTTTTTTCTTTAAAATACATATTCCTCTGCTGTAAAGATGTTGGGGGTTTTTTGGACTCTTCTTTGTTGTCCCCAAATAATTGTAGCTCAGAAACAATATTGAAGTTCATTGGTTTAATTTTGAAATGTTGATTTTTTTGTCTTGATGTGCTCATTTGACCTTTGTTACTATTGCTTTCTACCATGTTCAATTCACCATTGTTCTGCACATACGTGCTTGCATGTGTCCAGTGGTTATATTCATGAGGCATTCAAGGGACTTGTACTAAAAGATACAACTCAGTTCAGTATGAATTGCATATTTTAATGGCTGAAAATATATCTGATCTCTTTCAGAACATCACCTGTCTGTAATCCACCTGCGTGAGTTCTGGTCAAGGGGCTCATCGGCTATCAAGTTATAGATTTCAGTGGCTAATAGTAAGTTTTGCCAGATCTAAAGTGACTGAATGTAGTGTTAGAGAGCTTATAGAGCTAGGGTTCAGCTAAACTTTTATTTGGCCAGTCTGTTTTATTTGTCTTTATTTGCGTGGGGATGTGGAAATGTAAGGAGTGTAGTCTCTCTCTGTCTCGTAGATATGACCTGTTAAAACATTTTACACTTAAACACCGGCATATGCGACGTTATCCATGCCCACACATAGACTGTCCATGTACTTGTAAGACATGGAATGCTTTGCATATTCATTTAAGTAGAAGGATATAGACTGTGTTGACCATCTGTACTTTCACATATTTCTTTGGTGATATATTCATGTCTTTATTTAAACCTCTAACAGCTTCAGTTAGATGTTTAAATGATATGTTATACTCCTTTTAGTCATGGCATAATGAAGGGATACTAACAATTTTAAATATCTTTCAAACAGACTGCAAGCCACTGATCACTTTTGTTGTGACTTCCTTTGAATGCAGCTATGCTTTCAAGTGTGTGAACCTATACTGCTGGAGTTTTGAGATTGTTCTCATTGTTTTTTGATCTGCATATTTAGGATGACACTGCTGAGGGCAGATGAGAGTGCATCCTCAAAGGTCTGTGTGTACCTAAATGAAGATCCAGAGAAGCTGGTGAGGGAGTACATGGTATGTTAAATTGTTTTTGTGTTTACAATAGAACTCCTAAGAGTTGTTAAAATACTTTCACCAACTAAGGTCCATGAGTGACTCAATCAATGTCAGTCTAATTTATTTATTTAATTACATGTGAATTGTCTCCCCCCAATACCCTTCCCTAACTCCCTTAGGACGTTGATGAATGAAATGGCCAAAGCCGAGACTGTCCTCGGAATCGTCATTTGAGCAGAGGGTGCAGAGGCTGCCGATGCACATCTGATGTTGGGATTGTCTTGGAGGAGGTGGAAGT